AACCAAAAACTAAACACGATAATCATTTCAAATAGGAGTTCAATTAATATGGATTTTTCTTTTAAGAGTTTGTCTAATTTGGGCAAAAACCAACAATTAGCCTCTTACCTTATAAAATTGGTAGGTTTTACCTCTTCACCTTATAATATGACACTTTTAATCTTTTACCTTACAAATTTGATAGGTTTTAGCCCTTCACCTTACAAAGTTGGTAGGTTTTAACCATTTACCTTATATTATGACATTTTTAGCCCATCACCTATATGAATTGAAGAAAATAACTTTCACCTAATATTAGGTTATAAATTCTGTTAGTTCTGTTAATTGATTGTTAATATCCATTAGCATTTCATTATTAAAAACATGAAATTTAAATTCAATTTTATTTGTTAGCTCCATTATCGGAATGTTAATGTATACTAACAGTCAGCTAACAGAATTGATAGTCAACTAACAGAACTAATAGAATATTATAACCTGATGTTAAGCGAGAGCTTTTTTTTTTTCAATTTGTATAGATAGGGGGCTAAAAGTGTCATAATATAAGGTGAGGGGCTAAAACCTATCAATTTTGTAAGGTGATGAGCTAAAACCTATCAACTTTATAAAGTAAAGAGTTAAAAATGCCATATTATAAGATTATAAACTAAAACCTACTAATTTTGTAAGATGAGAGGCTAAAAGTTGATTTTAGCCGTCTAACTTGTGCCATTATAGCACAGATTAAGAGAGTCTTAAATATATTTTTTATGTATTAATTTATAAAAAAAATTAGCATTAATTTTAACATCTATGACACAGTGATATTTTTATGAAACAATTGATAAAATTAATATCAATTTTTAGTTTTATTATTTATATTAATGATAAAAAGATGCAACAAATACACCCTTATCTAAGATCATAGGATATAAAGACCCTTCTTTTAAATAAGAAACCAAAATTAAAAAATAGTTTTATATATTTTAGTTTAAATTGTATTTTTAATATACAATTTAAGTATTATAATTATTAAAGATGCAACAAATACACCCTTATCTAAGATCATAGGATATAAAGACCCTTCTTTTAAATAATAAACCAAAATTAAAAAATAGTTTTATATATTTTAGTTTAAATTGTATTTTTAATATACAATTTAAGTATTATAATTATTAAATTACCATTAATAAATAAACATATGAAAAAATTCTATTAAAAACATTTTTTAATTTCAATATTTAAATTGTACTTTTAATTTATATAGTCTAACCTAAAAACACTTATTATAAAATAAGAACGAAAAGATAGAAGATGAGAAGCTCAGGCATGGTTAAAATCCATCATTATTTTGTTATGATCATTTAATTATTAAAAATAATTAATAATTAATAAAATAATTAATATTTTATGATTTAATATATTAAAATTAATTTATAAATTGATGTTTTCAAACATTATAAATAACTCTTTAAAAAGAACTATAAATAAATTTTTTAAAAAAATCATGGCTAAGCTATTACCACCACCGAGTCACACCAACCAAAAGTTGTTAATGATATTGAAACACTAGTTAGCATGTGAACATGGATGTGCGGTTGTTAGCTACCACCCTTCCATTAAAAAAAGTGAAGAAAAACTAAGTAATAACGACTCCATTTTTTGGAACATAGGAAATGTAGGTTAGGAGTATCTGTCATGGGTGTGTTTATTGCCAAATATAAAAAATATTAAGGTTGTGTAACATTATTTTTAAAAATATTAATTTTATTTAGTTTGATTACTAAAAAAAATTTATAATTAATGAAATAGTTGATATATATTATTTAATTAATTAAAATTAATTTGTGAGTTAATTTTTTAAACATCATAATTACTTATTTAAAAAATTATAAAATAATAAAATATCAATTAAATTAAACACAATTTATGTGATCTTAATATTTTTAGGTATAGTTAATGACTTAATTAGTTCAGTAATAATATTCTTTCGTTA